AATGCCCACTAGGGCAACATCCAAAAAATAGGATTAACCTTTCAGAGGAGTCACTGGATACACTGGTGTTACAGAAAGTTGATCACAGGTACTGACATGGAAAAGCAGGAAAAAAAGTCTAGACTTCGATGGGTATGCAACGTGCATGTGCTTATAATCATGGGGAAAATCCGAGCACACAGGACAAGCCACTGAGTGTGGGAAAGGGAAGCTTCTGCAGCCATGCTGCACTCGGTTCTAACAGTTTTTAGTAGATTCCTAGGGATTTCTTATTGACAAATAGAGATACTCTTCCTCTTCCTTTCAGGAGAAGAGTTCTGGGACTCTGGAGTGATTCTCCAACGTGGCTCCACTAACAGCATAATTTGGGAAGCTTTTAAAAACCCAAGGCCATGCATGATAGCACCCAGGCCAATTAAATCAAAATCTCAGAAGACCCAGGCACCCGGCATTTTTTTTTTTTTTTAAACCCAGGTGATTAAAACATGTAGTCGAGTTTGAGTATCACGATTCCGTAATAACCCACAACCAACCAAAAAAGAAGTAGATTATATGCGATTTCCTTAGTATTTGCTTCATGTTCAATGTCTTTCATAGAAAAGCACAACGGGAAAGAGGCTCTGGGAAAAGGGTGCCCTCAGGACAGGGCAGTGCAGCCCTGGCCTGTTGTCAGATCAAGTTCTACCTAGAAGGGCATATGCCAACACGAAGTGGAGAAGAGGTCTAAACCCAGAGTTTCACCTGGCCAGTAAGTTTAGATTCTGAGTCCCCATTAATCAGACAATCCCATTTCAGCAGGGTTTACAGCTATGTTTCCCAAGCTATTCTAGCAATTCTGACTTCAGGACAAAGAGTAAATGGAATGAGGAAGAAAAAGAATCCTAACAACCATCCCACTATACACACAAAGGGGCCCATGGCCAGAGACTCAAACTGCCTCTGGAAACAGCTGGGAGAGGCCCCGCGCCTCTGGAACTAGTTGATTCCAGAAGTACATCCTCTGCAACAGCTGCTGGTGCCATCCTACTCAGCCTCCCAGGACCCCAGAGGCTGACTATACTGCAGCAAAGCGGAGCAGCG